ACAATAATTATAGAAAATAAAAAAAATTAAGAAAAAAAAAAAAAAAAATTGATCGATTTTACCTCTCTCAGTATTCGAACTCACGTAAAGGGTGTATAATTGCACATTTACATAGCAATTGCGTCTGTGTGAGTGTATGTATGCCTATGCGCATCAATTCGTGTCTGTGTAAGCATTTTCGCAGTCAACCAAACAGCAACATCAATAACAGCCGCGGGCAGCGCTTGAGCAGCGCTGCATCAGCAAATATATTTATGGCTATAACTTCTTGTTAAATCGGTCTATCATAATGAAATTTGGCATACGGACACATAATAACTAACTGGGGGTATTTCCAAAATTTTAGTTCGAAATTCCAAGAATTACGGGAGTTACGATTTGTGTGGTAGAGGGGGGAGGGAGGGGAATTCCAAAATATACATTTTCTGCGTATTCACATAAGGCATCTGGGACTAAAATTTGGTGTTTCTAGGTCTTATAGTCTCCGAGATATAGGCGATTATACGAATGGAAAATCGGGAAAACCCCCATAGGGGGGAAGTGGGGGGGAAAATCAAAAAAATAAAACAAACTCGTATAGAATACACACATAACGCATCTTCGTGCAAAATTTGGTGTCTCTATCTCTTATAGTCTCTGAGATCCAGGTGTTCATACGGACGGACAGACGGACAGACAGACAGACAGGGCTAGATCGACTCGTCTCGTCATGCTGATCAAGAATATATATACTTTGTGGGGTCTGCCACGCCTCCTTCTGCCTGTTACATTTTTCAGCTCCCGCAAACCTAATATACTCTTGTACATTTCATGTACAGAGTATAATGAATAAACATACATACACTCACATAGACGCAATTTCTTTGTATATGTGCAATTATACACCCTTTACGTAAGTACGAATACCAAAAGAGGTAAAAATCGATCCAAAATTTTTTTTTTAATTCTCTTACTTTTTTTAATTTCTATAATTATTCTAAACATATGTACAGAGTATTTCAAAGTCGGGACACCCGACTTTAACTTTTTTACTTGTTTACATCTGTGAATATGTGCACACACGTAATACATACACGTAATACATATAAACATGTGTATGTGTGATTCCGCCATTATGAAAATAAAACTAATTCTGTAGTCAACAAGTAAAAAAGTTAAAGTCGGGTGTCCCGACTTTGAAATACTCTGTACATATGTTTACAATAATTATAGAAAATAACAAAAATTAAGAAAATAAAAAAAAATTCAATGATTGATTTTACCTTTCTCGGTATTCGAACTCATGTAAAGGGTGTATAATTGCACATTTACATAGCAATTGCGTCTGTGTGAGTGTATGTATGCCTATGCGCATCAATTCGTGTCTGTGTAAGCATTTTCGAAGTCAACCAAACAGCAACATCAACAGCCGCGGGCAGCGCTTGAGCACAATCACCTCAACAAGCAAAACTAACTGAGGCTAAAACTAGAAAGGAATACTAAAGTCGAGCAGGCTCAACTCTTAAATAACCTGTACCTCCCACCAAAAAGGAAAAAATGAAAGAAAAATTGTGTAATTTATTTTAAAAGATTATAATTAAATAAATAATTTAATTAAATTAAATACAAATTTCTTCAGAATTGACCAATCATGATGAAACCAAATTTGAGTTCAAAATTCCAAAAGTTCCACATCAAACTAGTACTTTCTCGGACTTAGGAGAATCTGGATACAAAGTTTGGTTATTCTAGCTCTTATACTTTCTGCGTTCATACAGACAGACGGACATGGCTATATCGACTCGTCCTGTCATCCTGATCAAGAATATATATACTTTATAGGGTATGCCACGCCTCCTTCTGCCTGTTACATACTTTCGCACAAAACTAGTATACCCTTTTACCCTTTGAGCAGACTTCAAATTCACTTAAAGCGACTTTTCCGAATGCGCACCATATTGCCGAGAAATATCTTTATACCCTGTACCCAAAGGGTACAAGGGTATATTAGTTTTGTGCGAGTGCACATGGAACACACAGAAGGAGGCTTGGTAGACCTCACAAAGTATATATATTCTTGATCAGCATGACAAGCCGAGTCGATATAGCCATGTCGATATAGCCAGAGTGGCTCCGCAAAAAAGCCACTGTGGCGAAATAAGGAATTCCACTTATGTTCCTTTTTATAAAAAAATGTTTCCAGTAGTTGGTGCAAGAGGGCGCTGTACGGTACTAACTGCCTAACGTGTTGGTGATCTGCTTGTTTGGCGAACTGCTTGCTTTTTCAATGCTTCATTTTCTTTTCCTAGAAGGTCAATCTTTCTGTACAGAGCTGCAACGGTTGTTATGTTGTCAGCTTGGCCGTTGGCGTCTGTCGTAGAATTTTCGTGATCATTATTGTTTTTGTTGCTCTCGAACTGTACCTTCTGTGACACATACACACCAACGTCAGCGGCATCATCGTTATATCTTTCGCACGCGTTTGGGTTTTCGCGCGAATCGTTTACTGTTGGTGACGATTCGGCGGCATTCCTTAGTTGTGCATTGGATATCATTTAAAGGCACCGCTTTTGGACGAACTTAAACGACTGGACGCAATCGCTTTGCGCTGTATCCGGTATCCAGATTCCCATAAGCCCTAGGCAGGTCAAGTTTATTTTTTTATTCTGATACACCCCCCACTCCCCCGCAATTCGTGTTTTTTTTTCATAACTCCCGTAGTTCTTGGAATTTCGAAAATTAGGTAGCTACATCCCGTTAGTGATTATGTGTCTGTATGCCAAGTTTCATCATAATAGGTCAATTCTGAAGAAATTTATAGCCATCAATAAAATCGCTGCCCATGCTCTACTTGTAGCGCTGCCGGCAGCTGCAGCTGTTTTTGTTGTTGCTGCTTGGGTTCAACTTTGGGCTGCATACATACACGCATACATATAAGCACGCAGAGACACGATTCTTATGTAAATGTATGCTGTTGAAACTGTACATGAACATGTCTTCAATTTAATTAAATAATTTAATTAATATACTTTTTTTAATTATTTAAAAAAATTTGTTATAATTTTTTTCTTTTTGGTGGGAATTACAGGGTATTTAGGAGTTGAGCTTGCTCGACTTTAGCACTCTTTTCTTGTTTCCTATAACTCCCATAGTTCGTGGAATTTCGAACTAAAATTTTGTAACTACATCCCGTTAGACAGACAGACACATAATTATGTCTGCTAAGTTTCATCATGATAGGTCAATTCTGAAGAAAGTTATAGCCATAACTAAAATCGCTGCCCATGCTCTGCTTGTAGCGTTGCCCGCAGCGCTGCTCGCACCTGTTGTTGTTGCTGCTTGGGTTCAACTTTGTGCTGCATGCATACACGCATACATATAAGCACGCCGAGACACGATTCAGATGTAAATGTATGCTGTTGAAACTGAACATGTATTTAATTTAATTAAATAATTTAATTATTATAATATTTTTAAATTTTTTTTTCCTTTTTGCTGGGAGGTACAGGGTATTTAAGAGTTGAGCTTGCTCTACTTTAGCATTCTTTTCTTATTTCTTACTAGTACTGAAGGACTGCTCGATCTCCTTTTCCTCCTCCGCACCCTGTAGGCCGAAAACCTGGGCCCCGTCTACTACATCGTACATGTTTAGAATAACGGCAATCGCATCTTAACCGTGTTACATCAAAACCGTGTAAAAACAGAATTAGGTATATATTATTGATCAGTATGACAAGACCAGTCGATATAGGCATGTCCGTATGTCCGTCCGTCCATTTGTATGAACGAAAGTAGTGATGTAAATATACATCGATACATCGATGTATCGATTTTTACGTTAGCGATTTTCTATTTTAACTCAATGTTTTTAGATTCGATGTTCCGATCGATTTTTATAAAAACTTCGATTTACGGATATTGTAAAGCAGAGAAGTCCCGGGAAATACACAAAGATTTTAAAGAGTGAAACCGCGTATGCACATATATAAAAAAGTGCTAGTAAGTTGTAATTCCCATTTTTATCGAAAATTACGATTTTAACAAAAAAAAATTTATACAACCAAATTTATGCAGATTGTACATTGCTAAAAGTAACGGGAACTAACATGTTCCTATGTTAAATGTATGTAGATACATAAGTACGTATTAATACTCTGTACATAAAATGTACAAGAGTATATTCGATTTGCGGGAGCTGAAAATGTAACAGACAGAAGGAGGCGTGGCAGACCCCACAAAGTATATATATTCTTGATCAGCATGACGAGACAAGTCGATCTAGCCCTGTCTGTCCGTCTGTCAGTCTGTCCGTTTGTCAGTCTGTCCGTAGAGACACCAAACTTTGCACAAAGATGCGTTATGAGTGTACGCTGTGCAAGTTTGTTTTATTTTTATACCCTGTACCCAAAGGGCACAAGGGTATATTAGTTTTGTGCGAGTGCACATGGAACACACAGAAGGAGGCTTGGTAGATCCCACAAAGTATATATATTCTTGATCAGCATGACAAGCCGAGTCGATATAGCCATGTCCGTCTGGCCGTCTGTCTGTCTGTGTGAACGCAAGGATCTCCGAAAGTATAAGAGCTAGAATAACCAAACTTGGTATACAGATTCTCCTGAGACCGAGAAAGGACGAGTTTGTTCATTTTTTCTGATCCATCCCCCCACTCCCCCCCCTATTACCGATTTTCTATAACTCCCGTAATTCTTGGAATTTTGAACTAAAATTTGATGGTCACATTATGTTAGTAATTATATATCCGTATACCAAGTTTCATTATGATAGAATGGTCGAAAAGAAAGTTATATAACCAGGCTCAATGCACACATACATACATATGTACAAGTACACAAACACGCATAAGGCACGATTCTGATGTAAATGTAAATGTATGTATGCATGCATGGAATATTTTATATTTAATTAGTTAATATTTAGTTAATTAATTAAATTAATTTAGTTAATTAATTCAAACGTAAACAAACTAAAAATAACTAACATAAAATAAAAGAAACGTAATGCAACAGCTACCACGTATCCGGACAACGTGAAAAGAAATTACATACCGGCTGGCGGACAGGAATTGTGGTATCGGATCTGTATCTGTATCGGAACTGTATGGGATGCAGTTGGAAATATCCCTGGCGTACCCACGCTACCTGTATCCAAAGGTAACATTTGTTATGGATACCCTAACATTGGGCCGTGCTGGAACTATTCCATAGCGAAGGTGAGTCTCCCGCCCTTATTTATGCTGCTTTACTGCATCATAATGCGACCATAAATTTTTGTTTTTTTTTGTTTTAAGTTTCCACGATGCCCTTGGGTATTGTGGAATTATTTGGCCGCCCACTTATTGGTGAAGTGGAAATTGCCACGCTTGGAAATTGTGGTGCGTTGCATCAACTTATAGTTTGACTTTTATTTCATTAATGAAGTTTATTAGTGAATTATATTCATGAACGGGTTCTTCCTTAAAGAAAGTGTGTACATTGTTGTATCTGGCTAGTGATGGGAATCGTTGACGATTTGTGTTATGTGATGCGTTGTCGGGAACTCCGCAGCTGTTACATGAGTTATCGTCGATAACATGCATTTTAGCGAGTGTGGCATTGTCGAAAGAGTAACCGCTAAGCAGTCTGTTAACTAATTTTACACTATTTGCTTTCAACTTGCAGTTCTTGTCCTGAAACCATGGTTTACTAAGAGTAGTCGGAAACAGCGCACAGTAGCCTCGTTCCTTCTCAGCAACAAAACTAGCGTACTCCTGTTCCCAGTCATTGTGTATTGATCTGTACATTGTACGCACAGCGTCTTTCAGACTCCATTATATTACCATGAAGGTGCCGTGTGTTGGTGCTCCCTTTGCCGCCATGTCCACTGCGCTGTTTTAAGGAATACCCACGTGTCCCGGTATGTAGTGGATCTCCAGTTCCAAAACCCTGGAGCAATTGTTAATTTTCCTTTTAATGTTGTTGGCTATGGAATTGTTTGGAGATTGCTTTATTAGGGTTTGTACGCTGCCACGGCTGTCTGTTAAGATTGCCACCCTGGGGATGCTCAGAAGGATGGCATGGTCAACCGCCTTCTCTATTGCAATCAGCTCTGAAGAGAGATGACAGAATTTTATTAGTGAAAAAGCTGTCCACATGCCCTGACTCCTCGTGTAGGAAGGCCGAACTGGAATGACTCGCGGAGACGGAACCGTTAGTAAAGAACAGCTTAAACCCTCTGCTTCTCAAACTTGAGGCTTTCTCGTTGAAAATCAGATGCAGATTGATTGATCGATGGAGATTTTGTTCCTCGCTGCGCCCTTCAGAGAATCGGTGTCTCCTTTAATTTTGAGGCAATTGAGAGGGAGCGGATTGACTTCTTCAATGTGGTCAAAAATGGTGGCAAACTGTCTATATATCCTCGCGTAACTGGTGTTTACCGTACTGGCGCATGATAACGTTTCGCATATTGGCAGGTTGAAGGCAAACGCCTTGGCCAGCTCTTTGGCTGTAAGAAATTTATACCTAAATTCGGGAGGCATCTCAGCTGCTAAGTGGTATATAATAGGAACGGGCGTGCATTTTATTAGTCCTAGTGCCTTCCTGAGGTGCATATTGGTATGCCTTTGGACCTTGGCTAGGGCAGACTTGTATAAGTTGCTGAAAGAAGAGCACGAGTATTCCAGTCTGATAAATAAAAATAAAAGCCTTGTGCAATAGAACTCCCTGATTAGGGCTGACGCGAAATTGGCATCCACTGAAAAGCTTAAGGAAGGCACAGGATCTGTTGACATCTGAAATGGCCTGGTCTATGTGGGCGCCAGCCGAGTTATTTGCAGAAATGGTTCTGCCTAAGTAGCTAATTTGTTCTACTTCCTTAATGAAGGAATGAGTTGACTTCTGCGAGCGCTGAAATGTATTACTTTTTGTTCTACTTCCTTAATGAAGGAATGGGTTGACTTCTGCGAGCGCTGAAATGTATTACTTTTGATTTGACTGCGTTAAAGGACAAATTGAGCCCACTACATTCCCTCTCAAGTTTTTCCACTCTGTCCTTTAGAGTTAATACGGCTGTGTCGAAACTCCGGTGGAAGCAAATCAGGAAGAAGTGTGGGACTCAGGCAGCTGCCTTGACAGACTCCTTTGTTTACTTCCACTTTGCTGGAAACCTTAAACAAAGTTCTGTTCCTGAGGAAATCCGCAATCCACTCAACGTGGTGAGGATCAAACTCCATGGAACTGAGTTGGCCCCTGAGAATTTCAACGTCAACACAGTCAAAAGCCTTTTTAAGGTCCAGACATGCTGCCACCACCTGGAATCCTTCAGATTTGAGATATTGGATCTGGTTGATTAGATCATTTATGCACAAAGCTGTTGATCTGCCTTTTGTGAAGGCGTAGGATCTCTCCGGCAGCAGATCACGGCTTGTGATATGTTCATCCAATTTTATTTTAATTAGTCCTACAGTTTTCAGAAGTGCACTAAGCAGACATATAGGTCTATGGTTGCATACTAGGTCAGAGCTGGAGCCCCTTTTGGGTATCGGCACTAGCTTGATTTGTCTCCAGGATTCCGGAACAAATCCAGCCAGCCAGATGTCATTTAGCAAATTGAAGAGTTGAATCCTTTTAGGGTTCGGTAACGACTGCAGCATCCTATAAGAGATGCCATCAAGTCCCCTTGCCGAATCCGCATTTGTTGCGTTCAGCACAGAGATAAACTCATCGAAGTTGAAAGGAGCTGGGGCCCATCTCGGACTGGGAAATCCGCCGTACTGGGAGATCTGTATGTTGTGATAGGCGTGTCCTTTACTAATTGAAGGAACTCCTCGGCCTTGGACCAGCTGTTCGCTGTCCTTTTTACTCTTTTATAGAGATTTAACTGGTTAGTGCCACGCCACATTGAAGCGATTGTTGACATTTCATCTATATATTGTCTGAAGTTGGCTCTGCAGCAATTCTTAATGTGGTTTTGTAATTTTGTTTCCGCCATCATGAGAAGCTGTGCATCCTCAAGCTTCTTGGAGAAGTAGAATTTCTTCCTGCTTGCGTTTCTTAGTCGAAAAAGTTGATCAGCTTCTTCGTCCAACCATCTCTTGGGTACATACTTGCTCTCTCCTGAAATAGTAACAGTGTTCGTTTTTGTAATCAAGCGGACGCTGCCATTGAGTGACCAGGTTGGAGAAATCACAGTTATTTGCAAAGACTCTCGCTATCCTATTGTGGAGAACTTTTTTGTGGCTAATGCTCGAGTTGAGGTGAACCAGATCTATAAATTAATATTCAATTCGTGTTACATACATATGTTTTAATGTGTTTGAGTGCAACATTAATAAATAGGCGTTTATACATGAGTTTAACAGGTTTGAAACAAAATATGAATTAATGCAAAAAAATGAAAATAAATCAACGCAAAAAACAACAAAAAGGCTTGCCAACAGCCAATGCGGTTAGTTTGTGCGTAAATAAATAAAGAGTAAAAATTTAAATATATGTACGTATATATATGTATATAATAAATGTAAATATGGGCGAGTAGTCGGGGAATAAATAAGATAAAGTACCCCAAAAACCTTAAGGAGAGCTCTCGACGGTCGTGGGCGCAATATACCTACTTGTATATATGACCCAAAACTGCGTATATGTATGTATTTATTTAAGTTCAAAAAAAAACGAAACGCGCTACTGCAATTGGCAAACTCTGTACAACTTTCTAGACTGAAACATCTAAGCTTTCTTTATAAATGTAAGTATAATATTTTTATTATTTTTATTTTTATTAGCTTAAGGCCACAGAGCTATAGCTTGTTCTTACTGTTCGTATGTCGTTTTCACATCGCATAGGAACATTTAATAAATAAATAAATAAAATTTTTATTAAATAGAGCGCCAAGCTCTGTTTACGTGCCGCTTTCTGCCTCGTTTTCGGTTTAATTATATATTTATATATTTTTATTGTATTATTTTCTTTTTTTTCTTTTGCAGAAACTTAAATGGGGCGGCGCGTGCTGTTGCTCCTGCTACGATGCAGCTATTGATGGCGCTTCTGTTGCGATGCGGGTGGCGGTGTCGCAGCCATTGTTGCTGATGGTGTTACCGATGCGGCCGTTGACGGTGCTGGCGCGGTTGTGGCAGCTGGCTGTGGTGGCGTTGTGCCGCATATGGCGGTGCCGCTATCGCTACTACCGATGGTGGAGCCGCTGTTTGCGCTGTCACTGGCGATGCTTTGCTGTTGCCGCTTATGCCTTCTTTTTTCCTTTACTTTATGTATCCGTTTGTTGCGGCCGTGCCTGCCATCGGACCGCAACTCTGCGCCTGTGCAAACGCAGTTGGCACCCCGGCCCCCCGCTCGGTACCGCTAGATGGCGCTGCAGTGCCAGCTTCAAATTTCGGCGCCTCCCGTAGCGCTGCCACTTTTGCTTTTTTGTGACCAGCCCGATGCAACAATTGTACAAACAAAATGTTCGCGAGGTGTGGCTGCAGAGCGCCGAGTGTAAAGAGTGGCTCCCCAAAAATATTACGGATTGCACAAGGGCTTACTGCAGCTACTGCAAGTGTGGATTAACTGCAAAGCTTTGCGACCTGCGTGTCCACGCGGCTTTGCACAAAAAGAAAAAATTGGTTTTGGGCAAACGCCAACAAAAACGATTGAGCAAGAGGTAGCACTTTGCCTCTTTGTAACAAAGCACACTGCAATTGCTCCCATCGACCATCTAGGCACCCTTTGCAAAACAAAATTTTGCGACAGCGATACCGCGTCAAGAATTATGCTGCATCGCACTAAATGTACATACATTATTAAAAATGTATTGGCTCCTCATTTTCGTGAGGACCTCAGAAACGACGTTGGAAAAGCTAAATTTAGTTTGATTTCCCAGGTAAACTTGGTAAAATCAATACTAAGGAATGGAATGAATTTAAATACGCTTAACTCCATTTTAAGCGTAAGGTACGGTTTTTTATAAACAAAATAAAATATTGTCATAAATATATTAGATTATTTTCAATTAAAGATACGGACTAAATCGTAAAAACAAATGCTGTTTTGAGTATTCATTGCCTAAAAAATTTTTGCGAGCAATAGGCAACCGAATTTATTACCCTGACAAAGAGGCAGTGAGCTTAGATGAACTGATCGAGTTATAGAAGAGAATTATAGATAGAATTATAGAATTTTCAATTTTCAATTTTAATTTATTGTGAATCTTCTATAATTTTTTTACTTTACAAGAATCTTGTGTTTTATTATAAGCTATAAAATAAGAATATGTATAGAATTAATATGAAAACATTAAAACAGATATTTCCTTAAATTTAATCAAGAAAAAAATGTTTTTAAAACCAGCTTTTTTTTAGCTTAATTTGCCTTGGATTTAGCTTTTTTTACAAGTAGCTTTAATTTTTTGACAATCTAGCTACTTTTGCTCAGAAAATTATGGCAGCACTGTTGCAGACCGCTCTGGGAAAGGAAACAAACTACTGTTTTAATTTCCAAATTCATTCTGGTTTATTTTATGAAATTACTTCACAATTATGCAATTTTTGACTTACAAGGGGTGTTCCAAAGTAAACAGGACTTTAAAAAAAAACAGAACAAATGGTTTCTTCGGCAAAATCAATTTATTTTTATCAAAATAATCTCCTTCTGCTTCATAGAGAAAATCGCGATTTGCGGGGGAGACGGGGGAGGGAGGGAAATTCCAAAATACACATTTTCTGCGTATTCTCATAAGGCATCTGGGACTAAAATTTGGTGTCTGTATCTCTTATAGTCTCTGAGATCCAGGTGTTCATACGGACGGACAGAAGAACAGACAGACAGTACTCTTGTACATTTCATGTACAGAGTATAAAAATGAAAATAAATCAACGCAAAAACAACCAAAAGGCTTGCCAACAGCCAATGCGGTTAGTTTTGTGCGTAAATAAATAAAGAATAAAAATGTAAATATATGTACGTATATATATGTATATAATAAATGTAAATATGGGCGAGTAGTCGGGGAATAAATAAGATAAAGTACCCCAAAAACCTTAAGGAGAGCTCTCGACGGTCGTGAGCGCAATATACCTACTTGTATATATGACCCAATACTGCGTATATGTATGTATTTATTTAAGTTCAAAAAAACGAAACGCGCTACTGCAATTGGCAAACTCTGTACAACTTTCTAGACATCTAAGCTTTCTTTATAAATGTAAGTATAAAATTTTTATTAAATAGAGCGCCAAGCTCTGTTTAGGTGCCGCTTTCTGCCTCGCTTTCGGTTTAATTATATATGTATATATTTTTATTGCATTATTTTCTTTTTTTTCTTTTGCAGAAACTTAAATGGAGCGGCGCGTGCTGTTGCTCCTGCTACGATGCAGCTATTGATGGCGCTTCTGTTGCGATGCGGGTGGCGGTGTCGCAGCCATTGTTGCTTATGCTGATGGTGTTACCGATGCGGCCGTTGACGGTGCTGGCGCGGCTGTGGCGGCTGGCTGTGGTGGCGTTGTGCCGCATATTGCGGTGACGCTATCACTACTACCGATGGTGGAGCCACTGTTTGCGCTGTCGTTGGCGATGCTTTGCTGTTGCCCCTTATGCTGATGCTGATGGTGGTGCTGCTGCCGCCAATCCCTTGGGATTGCTTCAGGTTCTTCTCGTTTTGCCTGCCATCGGACCGCAACTCTGCGCCTGTGCAACCGCAGTTGGCACCCCGGCCCCCGCTCGGTACCGCTAGATGGCGCTGCAGTGCCGGCTTCAAATTTCGGCGCGTCCCGTAGCGCTGCCACTTTGCTTTTTTGTGACCAGCCCGATGCAACACCACCGCAAACATCCGAGTGAGCGGACCCCCGCACAACGAAGCGATGTTTGCGCGCATCAAACGGCTGGTGTTATTGCGTCCCCTGCTCCGAGTCCAGCGTTGCCTCGGGTGACCACTTCCGCGGCGCCCAACGTAGGCCACACCCACTCTTGGCCATCTGGTAAGTAGCTCTGGCTGCATCCTCCTCTCTATTCTCATCGGCATTACTATCTAATAGGCGTCACACTCGGATATCCTTCGCGTGGAATACTCCCAGCGGATTCCCCTGTAAGTTTTCCAGCTCATATGCGTTGGTGCCAATTGATTTCCTCACGCGGGCTTTTGGGAATTTTCGCGCGAAGTTCGCATTGAACGCCCGGCTGAAGTCGCTCAGCACGAAGTTCCGCCGGTATACCTCCTGCCCGGGCGCTAGTCGTAGACACCGCGCACGCCAGTTATAGCGAAGGCTACTGCGCTCATACACCGCGTGTAATTGTGCCTGGACTTTTCGTTGCACAAGACATTGCCTGTTTGCTGCACCCAACGCTGTGAATTCGTGCTCGTCCATAGACCTGGACTTTTCGTTGCACAAGACATTGCCTGTTTGCTGCACCCAACGCTGTGAATTCGTGCTCGTCCAAAGACCTCAGTTTCCTCGATAACTTGTATTGTGAACCGTGCGACATCATGTGTCGGCCGAACAGTGCGAAGAATGGCGTTACTCCAGTCGCAGAATGCACGCTGTTTCTGATGGCCACCTCAATTTCCGGAAGGTGGAGATCCCACTCGCGGTGATCCTGCTCCAAATACGCGCGTATCGTGGCCAGTACCGTACTGTTCACCCTTTCAGACGCGTTGCTTTGCGGCGAATACACCGGCGTTCTCAAATGCTTTATGCTGTAGCCCTCCATCATGTCCGCAAACTGCTTGGATGTGAACTGCTTACCATTGTCGGAGTGTATGACTTCTGGTACGCCGAACGTATGGAACACTTCGTTCACCAAGAAGTCGACGACGCTCCGTGCAGTTGCCTCTCGCATGGCCTTGAGAAACGTGAATTTGGTGAAGTGGTCTACCACTATGAAGATAAATGCGTGCCCCTTCCTTGATCGCGGATATTTGCCCAGGAAGTCTATATATAACTTCTGGAACGGCCTCTCCGTGACGACTTCGGCACCGATTCCCACCTGCATCCCGTGATTGGTGGCTTTCGTCTCCTTGCAGACCCCGCATTTTTGGACCACCTCAGCAACGTCTTTGGCCATTTCTGGCCAATAAAACTGCCGCCGTAGCCAGGACAACGTCTTCAATACTCCTCCATGCGTTGACGCTTTGCTATGGGCCTTTACTATAAGCATGCCGGTCAGTGCGCGCGGGACGCATAGTTTCCACGCACTGCCTTCGAGCTGATCTTCTAGCTGATTGAGTGATATCTTCTTTTAGATCACTCCGTTCTCAGTTTTCAAGTCAGGTAATTTTCCGTTTTCATTCAGAATTTCGCTAATCAGTTCTCGGTACTCTTCTGACTCAAATTCTGTGGTTTCTATACCCATCAGGTCTCCTGGGGAGAGATCTAATTCCTCTAACGCTTCCGCTTCGGTGCTTCTGGACAGCATATCCGCCACGACGTTATCGGAGCCTTTCCGGTGCGTGATTTCAAAATCGAAGCCTTGGAGCAGCAACGACCAACGTGCCAATCGTCCGGACAAATCCTTCATCGACATCAGCCACTTCAGACTGGCGTGATCAGTAATAACCGTGAATGGCATCATTTCTAAATTTCTGTATCGCCAATACCGCCGCCAAGCACTCCTTCTCGGTCACCGAGTAATTCACCTGGGGCTTGTTCATCTTCGCCGAAAAGAACGCAATGGGCCTCTCGTTTCCTTGCAAATCCACCTGGAATAATACGGCTCCGACGCCAATATGGGATACGTCACATTGTACAAAAAATTGACGTGAAAAACCCGCGTGCACCAGTACTTTTTCAAAGCCTCAGTGAGCGGAGCCGCTGAGGTGGCAAAATCTTTTATAAATCGCCTGTACCCCCCGGCGATTCCTAGGAAAGCTCGAACCTCCTTTATGGACCTTGGTACCTGTATGCGCTGTATCGCCCCCACCCGTTCCGGATCTGTTCGAAGTACGCCGCCGCCAGGTATTTCAATGTTTTAAAGCAAAACTTTGACTTTTGTAACCCTATCGTCAGATTTGCCTTCTTGAGGCATTCAGCGACTCTCTGCAGGTACTCCAAGTGTGTATCAAAATCAGCCACGAAGACTACAAAATCGTCCAGATACACTTTCACGTTGGATCTCAGCTCATTTGGTATGACCTTGTCCATCAGCCGGCACAACC